CATCATTTTTTATAAAAAAATGCTAAAAAAAAATTCCTTATAAAATATAAGGAAATGTGATACGGAATTTTAAAAAACATATACAAAACTTATTTATAATAATGAAAAAACGTATGCAAATTTTTTATAGGGTAAGCAATTAGCAAAAAATTAATTTTCTCTTTTTTATTTGTGATCAGTTATTATTACAGGAGTTTTAACTCATAATATATGTTATATCATATGATATCCATAAAGACTCTTCTCACTTTCAACCAATAAAAGTATGTGATCTACTGGCTAATTATCAATGACGTTTAGCACAATATATACTGTGCCTTTAGTATTGAAGAAGAATACGAAAGTATGTAAGGAAGGTTTTTAGCATAATCATTAGATTGTTAAAGAATAAGACATGTGTGAATGATAAGCCAGAAGAGAAGAGGACTAGGATAGAGGGTTATCATTTGAAAAAATAATTATACATTATAGTCTGCATAAAACGGGATTACATTCTGAACTATTATATTATATTTATTTTTTGCGTGTATCAATAAAATTTTTTATGCACAATAATTGAGTCTTCATATTTACTACATGATATTAGGTAAACTTAGCTCAACATCATGTTTAATGATGTCTCTTGTTAATTGTAAACAAAATATAGTGCCTGATTTTTTAATATTCATTGAAAAATCAAGTTCTAACACCTAAAAGAATCCTAAACAAATGTAAATTTTAAAGTTAGATCATGTGAATAAATCACCTGAAATGTGTAATACTATGCAAGCTTTCTTTTATTTACATTGTTAGAGCAAAGATGATTCGCAAACTATTTTAAGAATTATAAATCTCTGCTACTGATTTAATAACTAATTTATATTTCTAATGACTAGTCTATATTAAGTTCTTTTTTAATTTCATTAGTTCTATTCTTTTGCGCTCAAGTTTTATTTCACGTTCTTCAATTGATAACTGACATTTCCTTAATGACAATCTTTGATCTTTATCTTGCATAAAATCAGTTAATTCTTCTAATATTCCTTGATCTTCATCTTGCGTAAAATCAGTTACAGCTTCAAATTTTTTCGATTTAGTAATTCTGACTCTTCGATTTCTAATTGGTATTTCTTTAACGATAATTTTTGATCTTCATCTTGCATAGAATCAATTTCTAACTGACATTTCTTTAATGATAATCTTTGATCTTTATCTTGCATAGAATCAATTTCTGACTAGAGGTTGGAACTGGTTAAAACGGTTAACATGTTAACCGGTTAAAGATTTTTTTTAACCGGTTAAAATAGATGAATTTAAATCCGGCCGA